CTTTCATTAGATATCTTTACATCCCGCAACTTCATCAATTCCCATGTTGTATCGTCAATAAGATTGTGTGTGGATCCAGAATCGATCAACATAAAGATTTGGACACCACCTACGCAACATTGAATAACTTCATCATTTCCACACCCAATATTGTAAACAGGTAAGTACTCTGGTTTCTTATCAACATTTTCACTGACATTGAATACGTTTCTGGAGCGTTTCTCTGGGCGGTAAGATTCTTTAGTTACCGTGAAATTTTGCTTACGTTTTCGATTACCCTGAGTATTTAATGAATGAATATACATGTTATATGGTTTGAAATTACATAAATTATTACGATTACTTACCATATCAAGTGGTTTAGACCGACATACCGTACGGAAGTGACCTACTATTCCGCATTGAAGGCAGGTTCTACCCGCCGCTGGGCATCGACCTCCAGGCAGATGAGGCTCGTATCCACACCGCAAACACTTCGATCTTCTTTCAACCGGATTCTGAATTCTGGAGTATAAACGGTTTACACTACTTTCTGATCGATTGTCTGATCCTCTGTTGTTCATTTTAGCAGACTGATATCGTACTGCCTGGAATGCGTTTACGATTTTCGTCGTGTCGTCTAATGTTAGAACCTCTTTTTCTAACAGCTTTTGACGAAGATCATTCTATGTAAATTGTATTATTTTATCGATAATAGCAATATGACGACTTTCTGTGGCTGTTTTCCCAAAGCAAATCTTTTCCGCCTTTTGTTGAACTCGTAATGCAAATTTTTCAATCGGCCCATCCAGCTCGGGGACCATGTTACCGTTTGGGTACTTTGCCCTATGAAAAAAGCTCGAGCAGAGCGATAGCAGTGCTATAAAGAGCGAGCACTCAACCGAACGAGACAGCAATCCACTAGTATACTGCTGTTCGGTGCGCTAATGGCTGAGAACCATGATAGTTTATAATCAGTAATGATTGATCTAATGTTTGCTTAGAATTAATGATATTATTAGTCATATTGTTGCTAAAACTAAACAGTGAATGAATAGTAGAGCACTAATGGCTCATTCATATACATAAAACAGATAGGAATTAGGGAACTGAATTACATGAACTCCAGTATGAACGGTCGAATTAAATACAGAAACATACCAACTGTTATACACCTACACTTAACATACAGAAAACAACACCCACCATACAGAAAACAACACCCACCACCCGGATCATGGAGGAGAAGGGAAATTTGGAATGGGACTAATGGATCAAGAAGGAAAGGGACATTTTGGGAAAAGGGAAATATATGGTCTGCTACCGGTCCGAAGAATAGCACTAGTTCTTTTCCACGCCAACCTTTGAGAGAACAAGTTCACCAAGTTTAAGAACAAAGTGTAAAAAAATAGTGAACAGTCAAATACGGGTGGAAAAAACAAAGCTGCCTAATCTATTGAAACCGTAGAATCAGGTAGGACTATATAAAACGGACTCCGGTAGCATAACCTTTATCAGACCCTTTCCCTATTTCCCACCTGCCCTCAGGACCCATTGAGTTTTACCTCAAAACCGGCTGTAAAGCCTGAGTCAGGCCACGGTCTGTTAAATCAGCCCGAGAACGCACTAGGCCAGGTAGTGCTCGATCGACCGGCTATACGTGCCAACGAGCCGACGTTCAACCTTGGTAGGAAACCTGGTACCGTGAGGAGTTCGCAGCTACAGAACCTCGTGCCATCCTGCACTGATACCACTGTTCGTGGCAATCGTGCCATTCATCGCACTCAACCAGCAGTCCCCTGCGTCCAGCGCAAGTGACGCCGACGCCGCCGACGTGCAGCAATATCAGCGATCATCCGATCGCACTCGTAGCCACCCCGTCCGATTCCCCGCAGCAGAGATCCACGTGCCGGCCGGCCCTTACACACACACACACACACCCCCAGAATTTGTAAGTAGGTTTTAATTAATAAAAGTTAAATAGTGAAAGATTAGGTGACCGTGTTTGCATTTGCTGATCAGTGTCCCCTATTTGTCCGGAGCCGACCTTGAGAGCTCCGTCTCTCAAGCTCGAGCTAGTCGCCGCAAAAGAGGCTGGTGGATAGCCCACCCCGTCTGGTCCCCGTGGCTTTAGACCAGGGACCTGGGGCATTGTAGTCTTAGAGAGAGAGAGCACACGCAGTGAGTAACAACCATTGACCAGAAAAGAAAACGCTCAAAACTATCGTGGTGCTTAGGTGAGAAGTGCTGCGTTAGCTTCTCTTTTGCGACTAGATAAGGATCGGTTTCATCATCTTCCACATCTTCTTCATTCACTCCGGGCAAGCCATAATATGCGCTTTGTAACTCCAACCCGCCCATGGCCAACAACTGCATCTTCTTACTAGCACCATCTTGTACGTGAGCAGCAGCCATAACATTCTCGAACCACCTAATCCACATGTTCCAAGCATTTCGGACTTCGGATGCCGGAAGGTGCTTGTACTTGAAGTGAGGAAGATTATATGACGCTGGGCTGAAAAACTGCACATTCTGGTGCACGACCTGATAGCCACCGTCGAAATCCTCCTGATTATTCATTGCTCTGGTGTCCCTAACTATACACATAAAAGAAAACGATTTGTAAGCACTTTACTCAATATTATTTCTTTATTTATTCATATTCAAACTATATAATAGACCAATCAACATCTACCAATCCATCAATATGTTTTGTCTCCTCAGAATTTTCAACACCTTTTCCCAAAGCACTTTATTTTACATGCAACGTTAAACACATTTATTTTTATTAATTATTATATCTGTTCTTCAAAACAATAACGCAACCTTAACCGGAATTTAATCGGTTACTCATAACCTTTTTTTTTTAAACTATAAACCTTATAAGCATTACCAACAACCGGAATTTAATCGGTTGCAAAGTACCACCAGCTGCGTGCAATTCCAACAGGACATTTAATCTATTGCACATTATAATCACACGCATTCACTTTCTTCCATTTCATTTCAACCGGAATTGAATCGGTTGCTTTACTTGGCACATAACTTCCTAGCGTTAAACAAACAAACCGGAATCCTATCGGTTGTATTTATCAACCAAAATTATATCTATATATATAGCTTTACAGCAGATCAGTTGTATACGATCTCGACAAAAAAAAAAATCCAACTGGATATTTTTTTATATGTATTTCTCTATTCTTTCAATACACAGATGATATGTTGTCTCCCTCATAAATATCGGCAGATCTTCACCATTACACACAATCCCTTCAGCAAAGCTACGCCATTTTTCACACTTGCTTCTAGCGTCACTTGTTTTCTCTTTCACATTTGCTTCAAGCGTCACTTCCTGTCTCAACTACCATTTTTCATTTATAGCATATTTTCACTGTTGCAACATTCCAACCGAGAACAATTAAACCTAAATTCTATCGTAACATGCACCTATGCATCATTGAACACATTCAGTAATCATACGGGCTATAGAAATACAGATTGATGCTTCAAGGTCAACAACTTTCTGTTTAAAAATGGCGTCGATCATCCAATTTTCTTAAAAGCGTTCACAAGACACTTCCCAGTATTCTTAGGCTTAGCCTTTTTTCTTTTTTTATATTCCTACGCGCTTACCGTTTTTCCGCAAACAAAACAATTTATAAAATATCGTTGATTTTTTTTTCACCTCGTCGCCACGGTTTGTGATAGCCTTGGTCAGAACACGCGATACACGAAGCACAGTGCAACAACTCGACCGACACGAGAAGACTGAGCAGATCACTCTCGCTGTAAGGTTAACGATTCGTAGTATTCGAGGTGAGGCTCAAGGGGCGTGTAATAGTGTTAGTAAGAACATGCAGTCGAGAACCATACAGTATAGTTCACTACCAATATGTATTAAATAGAGCCGACTACCACAGTCGCTAAAACATTACCGCCATCTGTTGAGTACACTGTGGTGGGCACTGCGCTGAACAGATGGCGGTAGTGTGTAAACGTCAAACGCAAGGGAATTGCCTATGCGCGCCACAGGTGGCGGTACTACCAACTACGATACTTTTATATTGTCCGTTAAATGCTTGTTCGATGAACTATTTGCGAGAGTTATGTCTGTTTGTCTGTGCTTCGGGTGTCCGTTTTACGCCCAGTTCCATACCTACATCATCCCTGCGAGAGACAATTCTTCTCTCACTTTTGTTTACGACTCTAATGCTGGGTTTAGACAGGGCAAGTCAAATGATCAAGTCAGTTGAATTCAACTGACTTGAACGCGAATTGAACGTGTAAACCATGCCATTGAACTGACTTGATCAACTCACTTGAATTGAAAAAAAGTTGAACCAGGCCAACTTTTCAAGCCAATTGAATTCAACTGAGTTGATCATTTGACTTGCCTAATCTAAACCCAGCTTAAGTCTCGCTCTGAGTTCTGTGCTTAAAGGCTTTCCGCTACATAGGGTAATTTTCAATAGCAAAGTATTTCCGCGTTGTCAACGTGAATTAAATGAAGCGACATTTAATTTTTTTTAGCATGGTTAAAATATATTAAAATTCTAATCGATTGATTTTAAAACGATCTTCCGATGCTGCTCTGATGGTCAGTTATGTGCTTCATCGAATTCATTTTCTCTATTAGAAATGGGTTAAAATGCGGTTCGTCTACTTTGTACATCGTGTAAAGCAATACTTGTGCCTTACCAGTGAAAACACCACTGCTGTAAAGTAACTTGAAAATGCATACGATTCTCCGGTAAGAAGAGACGGATTACTCCTTATGCTCTCGCATTTGATTTATCATGTCCCACAGCCGACTCGGGGTGGTTTCGCTTGCGGTGGCCGCAGCCGAGCGTCAGTGTTGTTTTGGAACGATCCTTTGGTTGTTTCTTATCTGAGCTCCGAGCGCAGCATCTTCGCGTGTGATGATTACTACATTGTATTGGAATATAATGGACGAACGCTTCGTTCAATGTTTTCGTTCAGAACCGGTCTCGCCGGTGTGGTGAGCGCGGTGAGCGTTGTCGTTGTCGTCGTCGTCGTCGTCGTAATATAGTCGTCATCTTCGTAAGGCTGCCCGCCGCGTGAGACTCATGATCAGAATATCGCACCAACATTCAGTCAGTGGACTCCATCGAGACGAGAACAAGTTTTGCTAAGCGAGTCAATTGTGTGTGACCTTTGCAGTTGTCGTCGTCTAGTGCCGTGGAATTTCGTAGAATACATTTGAAATCCATTGGAACCAGGAGATATATTTCCGGGATCCAGGACAGAGGAGATGATTCTTGGTTGATTCTGGAAGTTTGAAGTGCTTAACGATGTGTCGAGCTCTGATTTTTGCGGCGCAGATGGTGTGGTTCGGATTGGCGATTGCAATTCCAATGTACGATAATGATCGCTTCGGTGAGTGACATCATCCTGGACTCGGTTGGATCATTCACAATTAATGAGTGCTTTGTCTGGTAACGATCTGATTTCAGAGGGCGACAGCTGTACATTGGCGGATGGAGTAACCAGCGGAACGTGTCGCCGGGATGTGGACTGTGACTACCTGAAGAGCGCACCGAAAAAGGACTGGAAACGGTGTTCGTTTGATAAGAATGTCTCGATCGTTTGTTGTCACGATAAATCTCCGAGTGTCCTACAGGGATCTCCGAACCTGCTTCGAAGCGGCTTCATAAGTGAACGCATGTGTGATGGATTTCCATTGTTTCCGGAGGCTAATAATCATATTCTCCATGGAACTCTAGCAGATATAAATGATTTTCCCTACTTGGGCGCGTTGGCGTTCCAAGATGAAAACGAGGTGACATTTCGTTGTGGAGCCAATCTCATATCGCGTGAATATGTGCTAACAGCAGCTCATTGCTTGACTGTGGAGAAGCCGACGTTCGTTCGACTCGGAGCTGTGAGAATTTTTGACAACAATGACACTACGGATAAGCCCGTTGATGTTGGAATCGAGAAAGTTATCATGCATCCAAACTATAGAAAACGCCCCCTATCGAATGATATTGCTCTACTCAAGCTAAATCGTACCGTAGACGAAGAATTTCTTACACCCGCATGTTTGTACACGAATTCAACTGACCCAGCGCCAAATGTGCGCCTATCAATTGCTGGCTGGGGTACTAACGAGTCGATTGACTCTCAAATGTCGCCAGACCTAATGAAGGCCCATGTGACCACATTTGAACGAGATGAATGCAACTTTACACTGCTGCAGGACAAAACTCCCCGAAACAAGATACAGCAACTGAATGGTGACCAGCTGTGTGCCCTCGGTAGGAACTCTACAGGCGACAACACGGGCGACACGTGCGTTGGAGATTCTGGTGGACCGCTGGAGCTGGCCATTGATCGGCGAAGATACATCGTGGGCCTAACGTCCACTGGGAAGATTTGCGGTACGAAGTTCCCCGGTATTTACACTCGGGTATCACATTTCATCGATTGGATTGAGTCGGTCGTGTGGCCAGCTTAAAAGTGGATGGATTAGACTGAGCTTCAAGTTTGGGGTTTGATATTGAAGCAAAAAAGTAAAATGTGTAGAACCGTAATGTGAATAAATATATATATCGAAATACTCAGGTATCTGCTTTCGGTTTCTTCTCAAGAAAAGGGTCTTTTATATTCAGTCAATGAGCGATTATAATACTTGCCTTATCCTACCGTTAAGGTTAGGGCCTGAGTGTCCCTTACTGTACAATTCGTGGTTCTTGCGCCTCCTCCGCGGTCCGCCATCCATCTACACTCCATGGCATGCTATGTTTAAAGGCGACATTAAAAAAAAAGTGAATTTCAAGCTGAACATTGCATTAGGTCCCCTAGTGGCACGCTTGTCACAAATCAATTGTAGAAACTTATATAAGACTTATTTCAGTCATAAACAAGTTGCTGTAACTTATTTTGATGAAAGTGTGCTACTCGGGTCCTAAGTAACATTGATCGATTCTCTTCGTCGGCTTTATCTTTCATTAATAACTTGAGCACATAACCGTTCCTTGTTGTGTTTGTCGTATTAGATGCTAGATGGAAGCTTCTTTCATCAATATGTGTGCTAAAAATACCTGGGAATGTCTTAAGATAGCCGGATGGATACAAAGAGAAAGTCGACGAAGAGAATCTGTCAATGTTCAGCTTACTTAGCGAAAAATATTTGTTTAATTTTTCTAAAAATATTAGAACAATATATCTAAATCTAGAGACAACAGTTTTCTTCTCTGACTCGGAGGAAAATTTACGTGTTAGAACATTGTGATCATGACGAAAAGTTAAACGCTGAACAGACTGGAGAGTTATAACATGTTATAACAGTTGTCAAATAATTGCAACACAGAAACCACCATCAAGATAGCGCTATAACATGTTATAACTCTGTAGTCTGAACGTACTATTAGACTGCGAAAATCGACATTTTTTCGACAGCTTCTAATCATGAGCAATTTCAGAGTAGCTTTTGAGTAGAGATGGTCCAGTCCAGTATAAGAAAGGAGCGGATTGAAAATGAACTGCCTTGGCAACCTATGTCTAGATAATTTCTAGCAACACTGCCAATGCAATCAAGATAGGCGCTGCTCGATTGGCTCTGGCTTTGACAGTTTGTTTGGCTCCAAACTTGCCAGTCCGCTCCTCTCTTATACTTGACCCTCTCTACTTTTGAGGCACCTCGAGTTACTTACATTGCTCAGTGAGCAACATCACTATCATTTGCGCAACTTCCAACTCCCTCTCCGTATGGTGTAGGTGGCCAGGTTGTTGGGTCATGCTTCGGGAAAAATCCTTCCATGATAACTTTCAGCTTCTCTGAGCAAATTTCTGCGAGCATCGTTGGACCTCTGATCGACTCGGTATGCGTCGCCCCAGGGGTTGGCATCAACAACTCGACACAGCTCCCAAAAACAGTTTGACTTGCTCTGCTTTATCTCTCGTTTAAGTGCGTCTGCTTCTGTTCTTTCTCTCAGAACACGTTTTCTGGCTCTGACAAGCGCGGAGAGTGCTAAATGCCTATTTCCACCAGTAAACTGGACGCCGTCTGCATCGTCGTGTCACATGCTCTCACGAACGTTTCTGTCAGCTCGTCTGCGTTCAGATCCACCCCTGTCCACATGGAGTGCTTCAACGAAAAGATACACTACCCGTCATAAGTGACGACTCGCGTGGAGAAGTATTGCAACACTCATTTGAATATTGCATCACCTGAAAAAGTTTAGCATCACCCAAGAAAAGTTTATATTTTCACTAAAATTTGAACAAATTCACTGTTAAATTATTGTGGTAAACATTCAGAAAGCTCTTAATTAAACTAGGAAAGTTTTGCAGAAAGTGGTGGCTCACGGTAGAGAAGTTTAGTGATATCTATTTTTATCTGAATCATTTCGAGCTAGAAATCATTTCAAATTTATTGATCCTTAGTAGATAAGTTTGAAATCACTATGAAAAATAGTAAATCATTTAATATATTTTACCCGCCATAAGAATAATATCGCTCCACGGAGAATCAGACCTGAAAAGTTTAGAATCCCGTGAAGTCGTTGCGATTCTATAGACAAAAGTTTGGTATGATTTGAATTAGAAGTTAATCAGAACTGAAAAGTTTGAAATCACTTGAATTGGATGTGAATCAGACCTGAAAAGTTCGGAATTACTTGAATTGGATGTGAATCAGACCTGCAAAGTTTGAAATCACTTGAATTTGATGTGAATCAGACCTGAAAAGTTTGGAATCACTTGAATTGGATGTGAATCAGACCTGAAAAGTTTGAAATCACTTGAATTGAATGTGAATCAATCCTGAAAAGTTTGGAATCACTTAAATTTGATGTAAATCAGAGCTGAAAAGTATGAAATCACTTGAATTTGATGTGAATCAGACCTGAACAGTTTAGAATCACATGAATTTGATGTGAATCAGACCTGAAAAGTTTGAAATCACTTGAATTGGATGTGAATCAGACCTGAAAAGTTTGAAATCATTTGAATTTGATGTGAATCAGACCTGAAAAGTTTGAAATCACTTGAATTGGATGTGAATCAGACCTGAAAAGTTTGAAATCACCTGAATTTGATGTGAATCAGAGCTGAACAATTTGAAATCACTTGAATTTGATGTGCATCAGAGCTGAAAAGTTTGAAATCACTTGAATTTGATGTGAATCAGACCTGAAAAGTTTGGAATCATTTGAATTTGATATGAATCAGAGCTGAAAATTTGAAATCACTTGAATTGGATGTGAATCAGACCTGAAAAGTTTGAAATCACCTGAATTTGATGTGAATCAGAGCTGAACAATTTGAAATCACTTGAATTTGATGTGCATCAGAGCTGAAAAGTTTGAAATCACTTGAATTGAATGTGAATCAATCCTGAAAAGTTTGGAATCACTTAAATTTGATGTGAATCAGAGCTGAAAAGTATGAAATCACTTGAATTGGATGTGAATCAGACCTGAAAAGTTTAGAATCACATGAATTTGATGTGAATCAGACCTGAAAAGTTTGAAATCACTTGAATTGGATGTGAATCAATCCTGAAAAGTTTGAAATCACTTGAATTTGATGTGAATTAGACCTGAAAAGTTTGAAATCACTTGAATTGGATGTGAATCAGACCTGAAAAGTTTGAAATCACCTGAATTTGATGTGAATCAGAGCTGAAAAATTTGAAATTACTTGAATCTGATGTGAATCAGAGCTGAAAAGTTTGAAATCACATGAATTTGATGTGAATCAGACCTGAAAAGTTTGGAATCACTTGAATTTGATGTGAATCAGAGCTGAAAATTTGAAATCACTTAAATTGGATGTGAATCAGACCTGAACAGTTTAGAATCACATGAATTTGATGTGAATCAGACCTGAAAATCTACTAGATCAATAAATTTGAAATGATTTCTAGCTCAAAATGATTAAGTACTATCCATAGTGATATCTAACTTCTCTACCGGGAGCCATCTCTTTCTGTAACACTTTCATAGTCTAATTCTTGCTATCTGAATGTTTACTACAATAGTTTAACACTGATACAGTGAATTTGTTCAAATTTTAGTGAAAATATAAATTTTTCTTGGGTGATGCTAAACTTTTTTCGGGGTGATGCAATATTCAAACGAGTGTTGCAATACTTTTCCACGCGAGTCATCACTTATGACGGGTAGTGTACTTGTCGAAAGCCTTCGTCTCGCACTACCGGTCGCAAGTTCTCGCCCTCCGTACTGCCACTGTATTTCGTTGGCCGATGCCATATCGCATCGCCTTATGGTCGCTGTGGTTATATCCTTCACACACTCTCCAATTCATGTTTGCCACCAGCTAAGGATTGCAAAAAGTGACGTCGATAATAGATTCCTAGCCATCGCTTCGAAAACTGCTGCTGGTGACTTCGTTGAACATCATAACTTCAAGCTATGCCAGAGCTTCCACCAGACTGTGCCCTCTTGCCTAAGCATTGAAGTCTCCGGGCTTCGTCCGATCAGCTCTTCGGTAGTGTCGCAATGATTGAGGTTTATTTGGGTTCCCTCCATTACTGTTGGCCTGCCATCGCCTTTTTGTATGCTAGGTATTTGAAACCTCCCGTCGTATGATCATTTCCGTCCTCTTTTTTGCAGAGCAGGCACCTCGGTTGCTTCGTGCAGCCTCTTGCAATGTGACCCTTTTCTCCACATTTCCTGCACAGATCAGATCCGCCAGGGCCCTTGTAATTCCTCGCCTGGTGACCGAAACCCATGCACTTGAAGTATCGCTCCAGTTGCTTGGTAACGCGAGGAGTGGCTTTCAGCGAGCACACTTACCACCCAACCTTGACCTTGCCCGTCTCCAACAGCTTGTTCGCTGCGACTGTCGAAAGCCGTATCGTCATTTGCATGCCACCATACGCATTCCATATCCACATTGACATCGGGACATCCTCTTCTCTAGTGATCTCGTTCAGATCCTTGCACTTGACCACTCAGTGGTCTCTCCTGGGATAGAACTCTTACGCACGCCCCTTCACCAAGAGACTTTTCGACGAGCTCCTTGAAGGCTGAGCACTTAATCGAAGGATCCTTCTTCAGCTCAAAGAGCATCTCGCCGGTTTTCACCACGTTCTCTCCTAGTTCCTTTGCTTCAACTCCGGATCCTCTTGAGCCTTCCGGAGGAGTGCTGCATACGTCGTTTTGTCTTTTGCTTTGATGATCAGAGTATCGCCCTTACTTCGCTCCGGATAAGGCTTGGGTTTCTCCTTCTTATGTTGTTCTTTCTTCTTCACTTCTTTTTCCTTCCGTTTTTACACTTCTCCTTCGGCTTCTCGACGGTATGCCATCCTTCCTCCTTGTTGTCTTCCTTGTCGTTTTAGACTTTTTTCAACTGCTCTTCCTCTCCTTGTGTTCCCCTTTTTCTCTTCTCCGAACGTGGCTTTCTGGGTCCCATCGGCGTCTCCTGTGCTTCTGCTGCTGCTTCCTCCTTGGCCTCGATCAGTGCCTTTTCGGCAGTCAGGGATCTCGTCATCAGCGCATCCTGTTCACGTTCGGCAGCAATCATGGCGGATTTGATGCCACCATCACCATTTCCTTTATTGCCTTGTGGACGTTGCTCTTATCCTTGTCGAAGTCATGGAGTTCATTGATCCTCCTCCTAACCGCAATCATTTTGATCTTCCCAAGCTGCAATCCTTCTTCGGGTGTGCTACTGCTGGATCTCGGTGTGAACATCTGGATTAGCACAAGACCTAGCTTTTCATGGAGTCTTTGATGCTCACATTGGGACTTACTGCTGCTGGAACTCGCTGTAGCCATCAGGTTCAACACAGGTTCGGTCCTCTGTTTTCACTGTATGGCGTCTTGTCGTCGTCTTTCATATTTGTTTTTGTTTTTTTTTTCATTATCTTCGTTTTCTTTCGTGATCCCATGAAGCAGAAAGGCCACGCTAGGGGTTGACACGTTACATTGCTTACAGAATAAAATGTTCACTAGCGACATCTGCTACAAAATTCTAGTAAGTTTCCATTCCTTATTGTCCGAAATGCAAATTGACATTGGCTGAACCGAATTGACGATTCATGTTGTTGTTGTTTTTGGTCATCATCTCACGAACACACGGTCGGTTATTTCTGCTTATCAGTGCCAAACGGCAACCTGACACAACTATCTACGTTCGATCGATCGCGTACACGGTACACCACGAAGCGCCTCTCCCTCTCGCGAGAATTAACCGCTAACTTGTGAGGATGCTCCCCAAAGATGATAATGCATTGGTTTAACGGGATGCTCGTGAATATTGTCGGTCAGTTCCAGCGCACATTTCGGACCATTTGGACGTAAGGATTCCGGTGATAGTGGCGCGTATCGCGAGCTCGCCGTGTATTTGTGGGGGGTTCTGGCGGTTGTGTAAGGTTATCGCATACATCAGTTAAGTGATTGCAGTGAAACAGTTGCAAATCATTGAGTGCAATAGTGAAATATTATTGGAAAATCAAACGTGGTGATTGTTTTTATCGTTACGTCAGTGATAAGGGATTTCCCGCGAAGAATCTTTAACGCGATCGTCCCGGCTACTGGATGCGGAAATGCTGTCACTAGTGCTAATATTGCTGTCGCTGCACTCGATAGGTCAAATTGCGTGTCAGGGAGAAATCGTTTATCCGCTCGATGCTAATGGTAAGTTTAGTTTGAAGCGATCATAGCGATTAAGAACCTAAGCGTGTGATAGTCGGAAACCGGTTCGACGAGTAGTGTATCGGTCCTCGCGAATCACGTTCGATTTTTTGGCAGCATTTATCATTTCTCTCACACAAGTAAATTTGAAAAGAATTTGAAGATCAACCGTATGTAGTGTGGTAGCGGTCGAAGTAGTTCCTGTTAATAAGTGAGCGCTGTAGAGTGGTGGACCTCATGTGGAGTAATCTACCCTAGCATTCATATCGGTGGCGCAGGTCAGTGACGCTTTGCGGCAATCATTATTGCTTGATTTATTTATTTTGAAAATTTACATCTCAGTTATTTTCACATCGAACTGTGCACGCTTTTGACACTGAATTTCTTCCGATAAGAAGGGAGATAGATAGTGAGTGACGGTTATAAACTTGAACGATGATCGCGGCGCGGAATTACCCAAAGGCGGCCGGCGAGAGACTTTTTTCGCTAAGTTTTGAAACTGTAGAGGTATTTCCAGAACGGTTGGGAAAACTCTGATTCTGGTTTGTGTTACATAGGGTTTCCGTCCCACTAAGCACAATCTGCACTTTACCTCTTTTATATCTGGTTTGAACAACAATCCAACACCTTTCCATACGTACCGTTGGATTCGATAAAGAGTCACAATTGTTGATACATTGCTAAAAATCTCTTGATTCCAAATTCGTCCTACCAGTTTCTATAGGTTCTTTTGAAGCAAGCCTATTCTGTCCGAACGCTTTAAAACGCCATTAACGCCATTAATACTCTAACAGGCTTTGTGTTGTAGCTTATGAACTAACGCATCGGAAAAAAACGTATTATTTGATTTGTGCTCGCTTGGTTATTTTGCTTAACGACGTGTTCCGGGTATCATCCAAACCATTTGTGGAATAGTTGTATTATTTGAGTTATCGTTCGTTTATGGTTATTTTTTTATTAGGCGGTGACATCATTTATATTAATGATGTTTTCTGCTCGATAGAAAGGAGTAGCGCTCTACCATACCAGAGACAATGATTTATAAGAGACGCGCGGAGAGAATAAAAGTAAATCTGGTTGCACGGCTAACAAAGTTATTTTGTGTGCAAAGTTTGGCAACCCGCAATTTTGTGTTTACTTCGAGTGACTTTAAATTTGAGCGAATATCTTTTTAATCGTTTCGGTAGTATCGGTATTCCAACGAAGTATTTGAATAATCATTTTATGACAACACTGAGTGACTATATTGGAGGGGATATTTTACAGAGTGTTGCGCAAAATTATGCAATCTGCGATTCATGCTTCCTACCCTGTATAAATGAAATCTCGATTTCTTTGTTGAATGGACGTATCCGCTTTTTCAAACAATGCATTTGCTCGTCGAATTGGCTTAACTGGTAGCTCGCTCACGCATGCTAACACTACCGTGGGTGAGCTATAGACACTGTATATAGACCGGACAATGTAAAATCATGCAATCTGGTAGCCCTGATAAATGTCATTAGTTTGAAAAATAAATCTGGCATCACTTGAATTTGTTCAAACTTTCAGGGAGCAGCTCAATAAGCCAAGAAAAAGATTTTTGTTTTTCCTTTGCTTTTGTTTTGATTCAATTCGTGCATAGAAGCTGTTAAATAAAAGTAATGTGTAAAAATGAATTGCACTCACCGAAATTGCGGCAATGTAGCACGCGATGTGAAGTAGATTCCGTGGGTTTCTTCCGTTTTCCGAAAAAGGATACCATCAGACAGATTTGGCTAGCATTCTGTGGCCTTCCGGATAGCTTTCAACTACAAGGAAGTCATCGGATGTGTAGCAGCCGTTACCGATGCACCGTGTCAACAGCAGCTTCTTACTTCTATGTTAATGTAATTTGCATCCAAGAATCATCCAACACTACGGAGCAACCACGGTTTCCAGTGGGTTTCCGGTACTCCAGTAATGTCTCCCCCACTCGTTTTTCAGTCGTCGTCTCTATACCGTGCTCTGCCGTACGGTTTTCAGTCGTCGTCGTACATCATCAGCTGGAAAATTGTGAAAGATGAAATAGAGGCTCATACTAATTTGAAATTATACCCACCATACTGTTGACACTCCCATAAAATGTTTGCTTCTGGCACATGGACCTCATTTAGCCAGGTGGTTGGGAAACGTTGCAATTTTTCAGTATACCACATGGCAACACTACTACCATAGACATAACTCTAAGACTAGAAGGTCCCGAAGAAACGTGCTCAACATTTTGGCTCAGCTCTGGTACTATCTTCAGTCCCAAGTTAATCGATGTACCCCTCGAACCATAGAAAAATCCACGAACCCCTCATTTGAACTGCCAAACTTTCATAGCGAATCGAAACAAACATAGTGTAGTACTGGAACTTATACCAGAATGGGGTACTTAATCGATTTGCTTGGAACCAATAGGCTAGTCAAGTAGTGAGCCAATTTTAAATCGTTAGTTTCGTTTTGATTGTTGCTAACAGCTCAGCATCACTTAACCACGAACGAAGTAACATGCTGTTGCAATTTTTCAGTGTACCACATGGCAACACTACTACTGGATTGTACTAGCATTTTCACCAAATGTACTAGAACGTTTTGGTTCTATCTCTTCCACTCTACTCAAAATTGAAATGCATAAAAAAATGAGAAAATCTCTTTGCCTCGCTCTTTGCACACTGACAAAGATCATTGCACACAAAATCAACTTTGTTCAAATCAAAACAAGAATGCTAGCCCATCTGGTGGCTTGTGCCATCCAAGAAAATTTTATTACAGTGAACCACATTATTTAAATTAATTTCTTCGCCAGTTAGTCGTCTGTCACTTCGTTTGTGATTAAAACATATTATAAATAGCGCAATCTCGATGGTGGTTTCTGTGTTGCAATTATTTAACAACCGTTAGGTTCCGCTTGACAATAGCCCAGTATTTCTCAATTGGGCGGAGCTCTGGCGTGTTGGGAGGGTTCTTGTCCTTGGGAACCACCTGCACGTTGTTGGCGGCGTACCACTCCATGGCCTTTTTACCGTAATGGCAAGATGCCAAATCCGGCCAAAACAGTACGGAACAACCGTGTTTCTTCAGGAAAGGCAGCAGACGTTTATTCAAACACTCTTTCACGTAAATTTCTTGGTTGACAGTCCCGGAAGCTATGAAAATGCTGCTTTTCAAGCCATAGGTACAGATGGCTTGCCAAACCAGATATTTCTTTGCGAACTTTGACAGTTTCATGTGCTTGAAAACATCTGCTACCTTTCCCCTTCCTTTTGCCGTATAAAACTCCTGTCCCGGAAGCTGCTTGTAGTCGGCTTTGACGTAGGTTTCGTCGTCCATTACCACGCAGTCAAACTTCGTCAGCATCGTCGTGTACAGCCTCCGGGATCGCGCTTTGGCCGTCGTATTTTGTTTATCATCGCGATTTGGAGTCACTACCTTCTTGTAAGTCGATAGTCCGGCTCGTTTTTTGGCTCGATGCACGGTTGTAGACGATACACCCAGCTTATTTGCGGCATCTCGGAGAGAGAGGTTAGGGTTTCGCTTGAAACTACCGGCAACTCTCTTTGTCGTCTCAGCGGTCCAGACTTCCTGGCTGTCGACAAACGTTCCCCAAACACTTTAATTACATTTGTAACGGTTGATTTGGCAACTTTTAGCGATTTTGCCAACTTTGCGTGCGAGTAGCTCGGATTTTCGCGATGCGCGAGCAAAATTTTGATACGCTGCTCTTCTTGCTTGGACGGCATTTTGACAACTGAAGAGTGAATTCCAAAATCAAAATAGGAGCAACATTCTACACACACACACCTTCAAAATGAGGAGTGTTCAGGTTTTTTAAATGCAAAATTGAAAGAAATACGTCAAGTTGATATTGACCAAATTTTGACCGTATAACCATAGAGGTAACTCTAAGACTAGAAGGTCCCGAAATAAACGTGCTCAACTTTTTGGCTCAGCTCTGGTACTATCTTCGGTCCCAAGCTAATCGATTCACCCCTCGAAACATAGGAACAACCAATCACCCCTTATTTTATCTGTCAAACTTTCATAGCGAATCAAAACAAACGTTGCGTAGTACTAGAATTTCGACTAAAATGGGATACGTTAATCGTTTGCTTGGGACCAATAGGCTAGTCAAATAGTGAGCCAATTTAAAATCGTTAGTTTCGTATTGATTGTTGGTATAACCCTTTATCTTCCGCTATCCAAAATGCCTCCTCCATCAGAACTGGAGCCGCTTCCAGTGGTTTCCTTATATGGCAATTACGCCATCGGGGGGCAGAGCGCTTCCATTGCAGCAATGGACGCAAAACGTGGTCAGCACTCACACACTCATCACGAAACGGTTGCTTTCCAAAACCGACGACGCATCGACCGAAAGAACTGCTGATGAAGAACAATGAGGAGGACCACACAATGGTTGCTGCCGAGAAAACAGACGATCGCGTGGCACATATCGAGAGTGGCCTGCTTTTGTCGACAGCCGAGTGAATACTGACCCCTACCTTGCGCTAGTACTTTTATCTTCGCTGCCTTCGGGGCCCCTTCACCTTCGCTGACGCTTCGACGACGCTTTACTCCTTCCGCTGGTCCTATTTCTCCTAGTTAGCCAGGGGTGGCTGTTCTCCTTGATTCCCTTCTTCTCGCTTTGCTTGTGTTTCAGCTGCAGCTTTCAGTCATCACCTGTCCCGTGCGCCCCTCGAGTATGGTGACGAACTTGAGGCTTCAACGGTCCCGTGGAACAGTTGGCCTGCCTGGTTTCGTGTCGCACACGGTTAACTAACGGGGAGCAGATTAATGATCGTCGATTCAGACACACTACCGGCGTTTGGCGAGGTCGATTCTACGAACGATGAACGGTATACCGTAAGCTTTACGGTGAAACCGCGAGGTCCTGTGGGCGCGATGGAGAATTCGAAATGGCGGTTAGCTAGGCGCACGATCGGTTCTCAGTAGGCAATGGTCGGGTTTGGTTCGGGGCTTTTTAGTGACGTTAATTACCTGGATGTTAAACGGAACGTGGCAACTTCCTCTACTCTTCCTTTCTGTTTAACTCCACTCCGTACTTCGCTTTACCAACCGGTGGAAACTAACGATTTTAAATTGTCTTACTACTTGACTTGCCTATTGGTCCCAAGCAAATCGATTACCATACCCCATTCTAGTCGAAATTCTATTACTACACTATGTTTGTTTTGATTCGCTATGAAAGTTTGACAGATAAAATGAGGTGTCGTGGATTTTCCTATGTTTCGAGGGGTGCATCGTTTAGCTTGGGACCGAAGATAGTACCAGAGCTGAGCCAAAAAGTTGAGCACGTTTCTTCGGGACCTACTATAGTTACCTCTATGGCTTTACTATCATCGTCTGCAAAGATCACCAGGCTAATTACTGTGCCTATTGGCAAATCAAAGTTGGCACTCGTGGAAAATAGAAGAACTATGAGAGTGATGATGGTTTCAAAATTTTACACGGAGAGGTATACGAGTGCAATCTAAAAATGCTTTTATTTTGCAAATGGAGCATTTTATTTAAATCTGGTTAGTGCTACGCTAGTAGAAAACTTAAGGACTACTTAATACACATATAAGATAGAAAAATAATTTCTTTTCAGATATTTATGTGTAGACATAGATTTCAGCTTTTCTACAACTGTAGCAGCAACCAGATTTAAATAAAATGCTCCATTTGCAAAATAAAAGCATTTTAAGATTGCACTCGTATACCTCCCCGTGGAAAATTTTGAAACCATCATCACTCTCGTAGTTCTTCTATTCTCCACGAGTGCCAACTTTGATTTGCGAATTGGTGAACGATGAACCCGAACCGTGACTGTTGAACCGTCATACGTCCAACTAATTTTCCACGCAATGGCTCCCTTTACGCCACCCCTATGGCCGTCCATTCATTACTACCCACAGCGTCCTCTGGCTAGTTGCATTGTCCTACACAGCAAAAAAATAATTTTGATATTACATCAAAGTGGATGCACTACAATCATGTCGAAAATTTCATGTAATTTTTATGACCACATAAATAAACAAATGCAGTAAAAGCAGCGTAATGTCAGTTCATGCATTGTATTAATGATAATGTTGTCCTTTTTAGCAAGTAATATTACACCATATTTTCGACATGATTGTAGTGCATCCACTTTGACGTGATATCAAAATTATTTTTTTGCTGTGTACATTTTATAGGGAAGTGTCTCCTACTGGCTGTGTTCGTGGGGATTCTGGGACGTTTTACCTTTTACAAACATGTAAACCTTTTCTTGGAGTTTAATAACAAAATATATGAAAACTACATGCGATTAATCTCATCAATCTTGGACGCAACACTTACACTTGTTACACAGCCGAAGTACAAAAGAGACTGGGCCTCTCCTGTTTACGCTCATTGATTTTCCATAGACGAGTGCACGAATGGATTTGAGTTCACTCGCTCGACAAAAAGTGACACAACAGCGGGGCCCTGTTGACTAAAAATGAACACATGAATAATACTCGCGTAACATTTGAAACGGGCCTATCAACTTTTGCACACAAAACTTGTTACGCCCACGCAAACTAACAACACCATCGGGTAGGAGAAATTCTCCCCTTCCCGATAGTGCTCTTGGTTTACGTTAGCATACTTCGGTTCTCGTGAAAAGGACATTGCAAGTTGTTTAGAAAAATTGATAATCCATTTTCAAATGTTATGCGAGCATTATTCATGTGTTCATTTTTAGTAAACAGGGCCCCGCTTTTATGTCACTTTTTGTCGAGCGAGTCTAAGAGGAAGAGGTGACAATTGGCTTCTTCCTTTTTTATTTCTATCTCTATCTCTATCTTTATCTATCTCTATCTCTCTCTTACGCACATGAAATCGGTCAATCAGGAGCTGGTTCACGTTTGACAGAAAAGTGGTTCGTTTTCGCATCCGTATTGTCACCTCTTTTCTTAGGAGTGAGTGAACTCAAATCCATCCGTGCACTCGTCTTTATGTGGATTTGGTTCCAAACATCAACAAAACATCGTTGCTTAAAGGGGTTCCTCGGGTAAAATGCATCAGTTAAGGAAATCAAAAATAATATTAATAAAATAATCTGAAAAAGCCTTTAATCGGGGCAAAATGCACCCATGCTGGGGTAAAATGCAATACCACAAAGGCGCAAGACGCATCATAATGATGAGGCAAAAAGCACCCAATAATGGGGAAAATGCACTACAATAATGGGGCAATATGACGCTCCTCGTCTCCTCGTCTTCAGACCAATTGAGGCAGAAGAACGTCTTCGTTTTTGATTGCCTCCAGTTCCGATCGTAGTTGTATCAACTCTGCACACCTCAATCTGTGCCGAATATTTTAGCGGTGCCGAAAGCTGTGCTAAACACTGTACCTAATCGCGTCTATCAAGTATTAGATGAGTTTGGCAACTCTGAAGATTCAAAGACTTTGATGATTATTTGTTTGTGATTGTACAAGAAAAATTAGCGTGATGAATTGATGTATCCAGTCTAAAATCACTGCTGCAGCACTGACATTAAACCCGGCTAAGCAAACTGGAGAAAGAAAACCAAATCTTTTCCAAGATTCGGGTCGTTTAACACCAACAAAACACTGATTGTAGTCGTAGTGAAAGCCGGTTCCGAAGCTCAAGTCCGTCGGATTCTCATAAATTCGGAATCGCGCGTCAACCACGAATACATTCTGGCATAGTTCGAGTTTCTGCGATTCGAATTTCTGGTGGATTCCGGCAATCTGGATGTAGTTCTACGTTCGTGGCGTTGATTATGAAACAGTACGACAACAATCAATACGAAACTTAAGATTTTAAATTGGCTCACAACTTGACACTTTCGTTGCTTATCAACCTTATCAGCTAGAGTAGGTAACGCAGATGAGCCAAAAGGCCTATTGAAATCGTGTTCCTTCGGTTCTCTACACACTCTCTCTGATACTGATATATAAGATAGCCAGAAATCAAACAAGTCAGTCAAATATAGTTTCAAATCGAACGCATCTACCGTGTTATTCTTACAAAATAACAGGCGAGCAATAAAAAGTCAAGTGACCGTTTTTAAACCCCCCAGTTTCACCGCGTAGTGTTAGTCGCAAATCCGAACAGGGGTGTTGAAATAATTATTTAGAGAGAGTGAATTTTTTTCCCGTGTTTACTTCTATGCTTATTAAGATTATTTTGAGCACCAGCTCCGCAAATCATCAATTACTATTAGAGATTTGCATCTTATTGATATCGGTGGTATATTGGAAACTCTTTCGCTCGAAAGCAAAACATATAACAAGCATGATGCGCGCTTGGATGTGTGAATGTTTTCTCAAGTGTTTCTGTTGCGTATAAAGTGGTAATGATGGACAATCGGAGCAATCACAAACAAGTAAGAATCTTGCTATTGCAATATAATGATGATGATTTCGAAGATTATATCATCCTCTTTCCTCGTCCGCGTTGACATCTGTCATGCTGACACCTGTCAGTTATTGAGCCCTGGTGGAAAAGTTGGCGAGGAACTCCCAACAGTTTCAATGTGCACTCAACAGATGGCACTGCGATCACATAAGGGTAGTCATTATATGCCTTGTATGAAAAATTGATCAGTGGGATATCTTGTTAATTAGATATCTTTGCTCGTGGTTAAAAGTGACATTTCGAAAGTTATTCTTGATGTTCGAAAATCCCTGTGCTGTCAATCGACCGGTTTTCGAGAAGAACTCAGCCACGGTTGTCAACATTTAACTTCTTGTCTGTCAGAAATAACCACGCTCAGAGCCTTCAGAGCCTTAATTGTTCTCATCCATTGTTGTGTGTAATGGTGTACAAGGTGAGTAGTACAAGTAGGTGAGTATAATGCAAGAGTTGGTAAGTATTGTGTTTTCATATTTTGTTCTTGTAATTTAATCGAATCACGTAATAATTATTTTTATTCTCATATCAGGTTCTATGCAAACAGCATAATCAACAAATACTTCAATACCTGTTTGATCAATACAGATTTGTTACAAACAGATCCCATAATCCCAACAGCAAACAGAGGTAAGAAAACTACAACGATCATTTTGCACGATGCGATTTTTCACCTTGTAAAAACGGCCAAATTTGTTTTGATACCACAACGTTGTGAGCTTTGAATAAAAATAGAAGTATGGAACATTTTTTTCCTAGCTTTTGGGTTGCAATGCAACAATTAAAAACTAATTTTGGTTAATTTTTAAAAATTAACTTCTGACCAGCTAGATTAGAAGAAATACCCCTCTGTGCGTCGCGCGAAACCCGTCACCTTTAATATGCGAATTATTCCCGCGGATGAGCTATAACGGCGTGTTCTCGTCGGTTGACGATCAGTTTCAGTGTACATTTCGGACCGTTCGGACGCAAGGACTGCGACCGTAGTGTCGATAATCGCGCGATAGTGAAATGGTTCTGTGACATCAAAAGTGGCGATTGAGAATTAATCGATCGGAAGCTCGCAGCCTGAATGCTGAAATGGTACCATTGGTGCTGATATTGCTGTTGGTGCACTCAATCACATGCCAAATTGTTTACCAGGATCAGAATTCCGATCTTCATGGTAAGTTCAGTATGAAACAATCATGGCAAGTTTTAGCAAATCCAAAGAGCCACCCACATTGGATCCGGATAAGATGCATTGCGGCAAAGTGACAGCTAAATCTTCTGTTCAATACCCTGTAAGACTATCTTGCAATGAGCACTCATACATAGGATTTCCAGTGAAAACTAGATGCATGAGTGCTCATTGCAAGATAGCCTATATTACATGATATCAGCCTTAGTCTGTACGGGGTATAACTGCCAAATTTACGCCAATGCAAGGAAAACGAATCTAACGTGGGTGGCTCTTAAGTCTGACAACCGGAAACCGGTTCGACGAGTCACGTTTTGGTTTTTATTTTTATTTTTTGGCGCTTCCTCAATACTATCAAGTTTTAGGAGTGTTTGGAAATACGCAAAGTGAGCGTTTCAGGGTAGCGGACCACGTGTTATACCGTTCGTATCATTGACGTAGGTCAGGGGAATCTGTTGGTATAGGTCTACAGAATATACTTGATCTAATGGATTGTAACCTTTAGAACTTTGTATGTTTCAACATTATCGTATAAAAGTTTGCATCATTGAGGAAAAAACGATGTAGGGTAGATGTACCAGTTATGGCTATACGGTCCTATTATGATGTGTTCCAATTATGGCCTATGGGAATTCCATAGGCCATAACTGGAACACACCATAATAGGAACGTATGGCCATAACTGGTACACCTACCCTATACTGTTTTTCGATTGATTTAAATTGAGCAGTGCGGAATTTTGACATCGAACTTGAAGCTTAGAAGGATATCGGGGGTTTTCGAAAAGGTGGACAGCGAGAGACTTTTTTTATCGCTTCGCTAATAATCTGTAGAGGTATGTAGGTATTTCCAAAACGGTAGGGAAAATGCTGGTTCAAGTTTGAGTGAATATTCTTGATATTTCACTGCTCTGAGTTATAAGGAGGTTCGATCTTTCAAAATTGTCTGAGACAAGCACAACGCATAACCCACATCCAGGTAATTCAGCTTCGAACCAATAATAAGGTGAATAAGTATCGCAAACAATAAGAAGTTTGATAGGTATAATGATAGGATTTCTATGCATTTTTAGAAGAGGACCATGTGCAGACTGAGCTTGCCATATTTCGTTCAACTGATCCGTGTTGGGATGTCAGACCATTGCTAAGAACCGTACCGATTTGACCATTTCAGAAGGAGATCCATGCTACCTGAACAACGATAACACAACGATTGGCCAGTGTCGGAAACTAAAGGAATGCGGTAGAAAACACGCCAGTTTAGCGTCCAGATGCGGGTTTGTAGGAAAAGAACCAATCATTTGCTGCGATGTCCTCCAAAGGCAGTGCGAAAAAAATGCACCCTCAAAGCAGCGAATCACCGATCACATCGTGGGAAACACCTTGGTAGTAGATGTAGGTGAATTTCCGTTCATGGCCCTGGTGACGTTCGAAAATCCGATGTTGAGGTGTGGAGCTTCGCTGGTATCCAATCGGTTCTTGCTGACTGCAGCACATTGCATAAGAACAGGAGACTCTAAGCCCATCGCTGTCAAACTAGGTACGAATGAAGTAGATGATCCCGGGGCCGAACTGTATAAGATCAAAAAGACGTTTGTCCATGGAAGCTATCAGCGGTTATTGAAACAGAACGATATAGGCATAATTGAGTTGGAGAAAAACGTTAAGTTAAATAGCATTGTCAAGCCGATTTGTTTATATACCAAACATGATGAACTACCGGAATCGACTGACCTAACAACAATGGGATGGGGAGTGGGCGACGATGGAAACTGTAGGGTATGCAATAATGAAGTCAACTTGCAATAATAATACCATCATTTATTAATTTTAGTGTCCAATGCGCTGTTGAAGGGAACTATTCGTCCGATAAGACGTGCAGACTGTCAAAGACGGTTCGATGTTCTTGTGAAAAAAGGTTTAAAATTATCGGAAAACCAGCTGTGTGCCTTGGGAGACAAAGATGATACAGGGATATTCACTGATTCTTGTGGCGGGGATTCCGGAGGGCCACTAGTGCTGCAACGGGGTGACAAGTGTTATCTCGTTGGCATCACCTCAACTGGATCGGGCTGCGGAAGCAATTATTTCTCTGGCATTTATACTAAGGTCAACAAGCACCTGAGTTGGATCATCAAGACAGTTGAGTGGGATGCTACTCCGTAATCTCAGCGCTGCTTGAAGATGCGCACCTTTTTGTGTTCTTAGCTTTTCAATAAATGGGGGTTTGGCCTATTTTCCGTCCTACTAGCACAGCTCGAGCGTTACCTCTTTTTTTTTTTGCATTTAGTGCACTTCGGGCGGTACAGAAAAAGCATTCTAAACGCAGTCAAAACTCTGAATCTGAATTATCTACGTGTGCGGGGCAATCCTGCTAGAAGCATTAAAAATGATATTTTTACAAATAAATTGAATGTTTCTACTAAGGATGACATCTTATTCTTTTACGACTCGTAGTGAAAATATATCACCCAAATGCATCTTAACAGCGGCGAATGTAGACAAACACGGTGTTAGGTCTCGTTTTCTTATATCACGGAATTATTTCGATTATCCACGTTAGTGTTAGCGTTGTAACGATATACTTCGTAGATTGGATACTAGTGTCCAGTGTTGGGAAAATATCACCCTCCTGATCACCCTTGATTTTCGTAGACAAAAATCAACAAGCAAACAACTGTGGTTGATACTGCAAGCTGTGATATCACAGTTTGGAATATCAAACTAACAAAACTCACCAGCTGCAAATCTCACCAAACTGTGGTGAGATAAGGGGGTAAGTCACTCTGTCACCTTGTGCCTGTGTTGATTGTGTTCCTTGGTGTTTCTGTATGACCTATCTGTCAAAACATTGAACGAAAATTAATGCCCACTGGCAACCATAACATCCATATTTGTTTATAAACTAAAAATTGACTATTATCTTTTTTCCTGCATTGGCTAAAAATCCCAGAAGTAGTTAACATTATTAACAAATCATTACTTTACCATAAATTAACAAATTCAATTCGACACGATTGCAGGATTCATGTGCAATCTGTGGCCGTTGGAGGATTACATTCCCCAAGTAACCACTAAGCCATGGAAAACGGCACTAATTCAGTTATAAAGTCGCATAAAGAACATTGCACAGTGCCTATACAGGAATTATATAATATTTGAGTGCTACCCAAAAGCCAGTTTTGGCGAATTATTCGACTGATATACTGCCAACCCCACGTTTACTACACGGTAACCGCAAAATACCCAATAATGACTACAAAGTAAGCATTTTCAAGGGAGACTGGGACTACCCATTAAATGAGTAAATGTTACTCAAAAATATTTGCTACTATCATATTTGTTACTCAAAAATGAATACTTACTACTTGTTTGTGTGGTTGTAATTACTCATAAATGGGTAAAATTTCACTCATTTAATGGGTAGTCCCAGTTTCCCTCGAAAATGCTTACTTTGTAGTCATTATTGGGTATTTTGCCGTTACCGTGTACCGTGACTATAAAGTGATGTCAAAACGCAAGCCAGGGAAAAGTTTGTTTATAACTTTTAACTCTTTCTTCCTCATTTCAACTACCGTAGTGGATAGAGTTAGTGTGGAATAAAGAATGAGTAGAATTGAGCGAGCGTGAAGCGCGCTAGACCGTAAATAACCAAGGGGGGAGGTGGCTGTCAAATACGAACAATCGTCGCCTACCTCGCATAACCCGCATAACTGGTTCCAAACGTAAACAAGCCATAATTTGCCATGCATTTCATGTGTGAATCATATAATAGATCAAGAGCAAATTTTCATTACGTCGAATGTAACAAAGGTAAACAAAGTCGAGCTATCAGTGTCAATCGATTCTCCTGCTATTACACTATATACTGTCCGAATATAGGATCAAATCCCATTTTTAAATTTATTTAAAAGTCAAATTGCTTTTTGACGTAATCACCTTCCGATCAAAATAGTTTTCGATGTTACTTAAGTCACCCAATTTCTATGGAGATGCCGTTTGACTTAAGTAACAGCGCTGAGAAACCCGTGAAAAGTGTACGTTCGTCGTTTCGCTTTCTCATTATTAAAGTGAAGAAATCGAACTGTTTGTTGCTAAGATGATTTCGGTGGTCCTAAAATGATGAATGGGCTGCACGTAAGGAGACGTAATTGATAATTCTCCCGAATATCCTGGTAAATACACTTTGACTTAAGTAACAATAGGGGCCACCAAACGACGTATAATAACTTTTGACTCAAAAACCAGTATTTTTTAGCATGAAACCTAGCGATTTGCATTTGTATGATTAAAACCCTGCTAAATATGTTAAACATTGCTATCACTACACGAAAAGAATTATTCATATTGAATGTATTAAGCAAACCACATAGATTTTTGCCATTGCCATCCGCTCATAAAAAGTATAAGGATAAGTAATTAAACATATGTATAAGTCTTATGGATGCAATGAATCGTGCTTGAATGAAAAGTATAAGGCTGACTTATACTTTTTATGAACTTTGAAACATAAGAATCATTGAATTCGATATAGTATTGATGAAGTCCTTTTTCAATTTTGTTTACTTTTATATTTCATTAGAAAAAAAGCCAAAAAAAAAAACGAATTGGTGTGAATAGATTTTTTTATGAATAATGATAGATATATGAGTGGTATAAAACTTCATGCATCATCGCGTGCATCGTGCATTGTGCATACTGGAACCCGAATTATTTACAGCACCGAGCTTTCGAGCATTGATCTGGAAAGTATAGTGTGCAACTGAAGATGAATTTCGCACTGCTTTATGATTGGGATCCGAAATTGTCCTCATGCCGTTGATCCTTCTGCATACCGAGAGCACCTGTCGTACCGAGTATCTCGCGTTGATGATTTTAAAACTATTAATGGAATGATGATTATTATATAAGCTGTAAATTTTCTACTCACGTAGTTGACATCCTTTTCCGATTCAGTCAAAAACAACTGTTATTTTTCAAAGCAGTGCTATGTAAAAAGTATAAGTGAATATTTATAGTTTTTGGTCATAACATATGATTAATTCTTTTCAATAAAATATCTCTTGGTTACTATGTGTGCCTGCATGAATTTAATGTGAGTGAAATAATGAATAACATTTAGTATAAGGTAATGAGAAGTATAAGTCTATTCTTATGAACAAAATAATTGATTTTCTTTGAGTGTATGAGATTATATGTGTTTACTTGGAAATAGGAATAACTTTTCGGTCATCAAAACAAAACTTTATTTTTCTCGGATTGGTGCGAATGTTACTTACGACATAATGAAACTAATGTTCTGCCCGACAACAACTCAGCAGCACGAGACTCCTTGAACTGTGTCTCAGAGTCGGCGCACTACTGGGCAAACTGGAGGGGCTACGCGGATAAAAAGGCACTTCAACTAAACTGAAACACAACGCGGATCAATTTAATCACTGTATTTCTCCAATTACCGATAGTGTGGATTGTGTGGTGTTGTGTTCGATTTTATTGGCACATACCCTTGATGACGATGGCGACTACGACGACTGCAGTCCAGCGAGCGCTCGCTGTGGTTCCGGAAAGATCCTTAAAGGCCGATCTTGTCGGCAAGATGGCGGTACCACCGCTCGGTGAAATTGCGGTACAATTCCGACAATGGCGGACGAAGCGAGGCTGACCGAACGTCGGCCGTAGTGCGATGGCGGGTTGGTTTTACCGGGCTGGTATAGTGGTTTGTGGAGATGGTTCCGATGCACAGGCGCTTCCTTCTGACGAAGCCGGTCGACGACGGCAAGGCCGCCCTCTGTCGAACCGGGAAGGGAAATTCTCCTTGGCGTTTAGGGCCTTCAGCCCGAGAACAATGTCCTTTACGGTTAGGTCAAGGTAACTCAATGTCACCTAGACCGTAGCGTGCAATGACGGTCCTTGACTCGCCAACCAGAAAACCATTTGATTGGTTGAAAAGAAAGGTCCTAGCGAGGAGGTAACATCCATTAGTGCCTTGGACCAATTTAGAGGATGACTTGGACTTTACCTGAATCAGCTGAATTGGTGATTTCCACTTCACCTTGATTCACTACTCGCACTGTATTCTGTTGGAATGGATTCCACAGACACTTCTGGTCTACACGCTCGCCTGAGATAAAGTGAACGATGGCCGTTCTCTAAGTATCGTAGAACCCTTCAGCTCATCACCCGTGACTCCGTGTCACCATTTTGCCGCGGCCATGCGCGCCTTATTCAGCAGTCGGCCGTTAAGCATGGCCGTATCGTCTGTCCAGTGGGTTTCACCGCAAGTGTTACACAAGTTTATTTGAATGCTCGATCACATGGTGCATATTTAAAATATTGTATTGAACCTTTGTAACAGAACGGTTACACTATCCCTCCGCCCAGGTTAAATAAGTGATCTGGTTTAGGAAGTAAACCAGAGTAATTATTTAATCCCACACAGAGGTACAAATATCCTTTTCAAAGCTGACAGGTAGTTACAAAACAGTTAAAATAAACATATACTAATCGCTACGCGAAGCAGTTAAAATTCAATAAAAAAACATTCAAACTCTATAAACACTTTAAAATCATCGGCAAACTAAAAGTTAAAATTTCTTTAAGAAAATTACTATAATTGAGCACGTGTGATCAAATTGTTATGAGTATTTGTTTCAGTTAACACCAGGGGTGAATTCGTTCTACTACTTCATTTTCGCTAAATTCATCTCGCCTTCATCCTACTCGTGGTAGGAGATGGAGATGACCAATCAGTCTCTTCTCACACGCGATCGCGATTGTACATGCAGTTGACCGGACATCTACAACAGTGTTTTGTTACAAGGAACAATGGACTAAAAATTAAAATTGTGCTACTATAACAGTGAACAAAAAGAATATGGCAAGTTAACAAATGGTGATACTAGCTCGGATTTTACAAGATAAGTATTACTTTATGTATCTACTATGCGTTAAGCTGGACGAAACTATTTATTTTCAGGTTTGTTCGACCAGGTGGCCTCCTGGTCTTATCAGGCGTGATCTACTATGGAGTTCCTATTCGTATGGTTGAGCTTTCTGTGCACCTTGAAAGCGATCATTATGATTTTTTTACGCCTGTGGAACAACCCTGAGAACGATCCCATTTCATCGATAATTAATTACTCTATATGGTTCAAAATAGTAAGTACATACACACAATTTTAAATTACTATATTCTATTATTCTACTTAAACCTATTTTTATTCTACTGCTATTATTCCCCTTATCAACCCCTCTGTTATAACCTCATTCGTATACAATTTTACTTACAAAAGGGTTCAATCTCCTATCTATTCACATACATTTACTTTTGCTGCGCAGCTTTTCAATTGATGACGTCATTACTTTTCATTTACAGATTCAGCACACAACTTCATCTTTTCTCGAGCAAGAGAGCTTTCTCTCTGCTCTATGACTCGGACAATGATTGTACCAACCAACCATCACTATCTGACCACTATCCAAAGGACAGTTCATTCGATCGAGGTACTTTGATGACCGGAGACAGAGAAGCTGATCTGTGTTGCAACAAATTCGTGCTCTAATAATGCACTTGTTTACAAGGTACTTCTAGTTCTGAAACTCTAGTACGATGTTCATCATTCTAATACTCGAATTCTCTTTTAGGTATCGTTTACCCTCATTGGCGAGAATCCGAATCATCTGGACGAAGGTCTGCAGCTGAGAATACGCCAAGATGCTTGCCATTCTCGTCTGCCAACTCATAGGAGCTCGTTCCTCGCCTCGCTACGACGACACACGGAATGTAGACTGGCCCATACTTGGCGTTGTACTTCTCGACGGCGGAAGACAATCGGAAATTGCGCTTGTACACCCGCTGTCCTACTTGGTAAGTCGGTGCCAACTTTTTGTGACGAAGGTTGTAATTTTTTAAATTTTTCTGGTGGCTCTTTAATAGATTTTCTTTAACTACCTTAAACATCTTTTCATTAATCTGCTTCCGAAATACCTCCCTCTGATCTACTGAAACCTCCTTTTCGTCCCTTTCAAGACGATGTTGTTCTCCTTTGGTGACTTTCTCGTGCCCGTACAGGATCCTATAGGGCGAAAATCCAGTCGAGGCATGAACAGTCGTATTCAGCATTTCCTCAACCTCAAAGATGTTTGAATCCCAGTTCCGTTGATCTTCTTTCATGTAGGTTCTCAGGCATGCATTTATTGTCCGGTTCAGCCTTTCTACCGGATTCGCCTGACTATGGTGTCTGGCGTTCGGCCAATGTTGAACTCCTCGACGTTTCAGTAATGCTTGGAACTCTTTTCCCACAAAAGTTGTGGCGTTATCGGATATTATTACCTCCGGTGTTCCAAACCTTCTCATCCAACTGTCTTCAACAATCCTGCACACTTCCTTCGCTTCAATTTTCCTCAGTGGGGCAAGAAGGGTCCATTTAGAAAACAGGTCCATCATGACCAACAAATGGCATTTACCCAACTTGCTTCTAGGTAAACTCTGAATGAAGTCCAGTGCCAGCATCTGAAATGGCTTATTGGTGAGCTTTGGTCTTCCCATCACTGGTACTGTGGCTACCGTCGACGGTTTACACGTTTTACACGTAGTGCAGTTCTTGATATGCTTCTTGCAGTCTATAGCCATCCGAGGCCAGTAGTACTTGTACTTCAAACGTTGAATATTTTTCTCGTATCCTGGATGCATCGCAGCTTCGTGCTCTTCATCTAAAACCGTCTTCCTTAGATCCTCTGGAACGCATAGCTTCCAGTCGAATCTGTAATCCAGTGTATCTGTAGGGCTAGACACGAACTTGTATAGTTTGGATGTCTCGATCTTGAAGTCCGCATACTCCTCTGGAGATTCGGTTACCTTGTTGAACAGGTCTGAATACCAATCCGATCTGTTGGTGATCTCCAAGGCTTCTATTGACCTCGACAAAGCATCCGGAACTATGTTTTCCTTGCCTTTGCGGTGACGGACGACCATGTCGTACTGTTGCAACTGCATACTCCATCTACTTAATTTGGAGGACGACTTCCACTTCGTGTTCAATATAAACGACAGGGCGGACGAGTCGGTGATCAGAGTGAATTTTGTTCCTTCTATATACGGTCTATATTTCTCGATCGCCTCCATCGCAGCCAAGCCTTCTTTTTCTGCTGCTTTCCACGACCTCTGTGGGGTGGTTAATTTCCTCGAAAAGTATGAAATTACATGCTGAACCCCGTCGTGATCCTGGGTTAACACCCCCGCAATCGCACTGTCACTAGCATCGGTCTGTACCGTGAACGGGAGCTCGAAGTTTGGGTTCGCTAATATGGGTGCCGAGATCAACCGTTCTTTAAGATCGATGAAAGCTGCTTCGCATTGTTCATTCCATTTAACGACCTTTGGTTTGCCCTTCAACAGGTCCGTTAGTGGGGCTGTGATTTCACTATATCCCTCTATGAACCGCCTATAATAGTTAATCATGCCCAAGAATCGTCTAAGAGACCGAACTGAAGTCGGCCGTTCAAAGTTTACTATCGCCTCAACTTTATCTGGGTTCGGTCTCACACCATTCTGGGAGAGAATAAACCCCAAATACGGCAGTTCAGGGACACAGAATTTAGACTTTTCCAAGTTAATGGATAGATTGGCTTCTTTCAGCCTGCGGGCTACATCTTTTATACATCGGAGGTGATCCTCGAAGGTGTCGTTTGCGATAACTATATCATCTAGATACACGAACACCTTCGGTTCCAACTCACCATATCCCAGTACCTGGTCCATCAGCCGCGACAGGGTGGCTGGACTATTAACCAAGCCGAATGGGAGTCTAGTGAATTGGAACAACCCTCTGCCAAAGACCCGAAACGCCGTATATTTACGCGAATCATGGTCTAACGGAATCTGCCAAAACGCCTTGGACAGATCTATTGTTGTGAGATAACGCGCAGATCCCAATCTTCCAAGGATCCGGTCTTGGTGTGGCAGAGGGTAGACATCCCTCCGAGTCCTATCGTTGAGTTTTCTCGCGTCCAAACACATTCGGACTTTTAACCTGGTATCTCCATCGTTGGTATCGCCTCTCTTAATCACCGGTACTATCAATAGGGCCCAATCACTTGTGGATCGTTCGACTACTCCTGCTTGAATCCATTTGTCCAGCTCCAAGTTGACTTGTTTCTGAACCTCTGGAGACCACGGGTAAGGATTTAGCCGAACTGGACCTGCTGTGTTGAATTCCTCGGTGATTTCTATTTTGTGGGTTATGAGCGAAGTTGTATCAAGTATCTGACCTTCTTCAAACGCTTTAAACTCACATTTTACTGCTTCCAGCTGTTGCTGTTGCTCTGGAGTCAACTGCATCTCCTCTTCTTGCTCAACTTCTACTTCATCTACTAGCGCTTCAGCCGAATCTCTTATTGTGGGTTCTATTCCAAAGAGTTGCCAAAAGTTCATCCCCAGGATAAACCTTCTTTTTAAGGAGGGAGCAATCAGAGTGGTAACCAGTCTCGTTCTACCGTTGAATGTGATTGGAAGATGTACTGCTCCTCTAACTTCTAAAATTTCTCCTCCAGCGGTGAAAAGCTTCGTTTTGGTTTGGGTTCGTTTGATGTTCAGTTTCTTCAGCAAGTTTTCACCTCCAATGCCCAGAATCGAAACCTGGGCCCCACTGTCTAACAAGCCTACCATTGCCATCCCCATCACATCGAACCTCACGAATGGACGATTATCTCCTTCGACTGTTACGGTCAACTCTTCAACTTCTGGGTTAGACGGTACAAATACGGTCGGAGGTTTTTGCGAACGCACTCGACGACCTCCTACGTCGATTTGCGTCCGTTTTTTTGACAAAACGGACAATTTTCTTTCGTGAAGTCATGAAACCCACAAGTTGTACAGAACGTATCTCTTTCTCTAAGACACGCCTGGTAGTGATGAAATTTTCCTCTACAGTTGAAGCAAACGTTGTTTTCCGGTATTCGGTATTCCACGACTCGTTTTTCTAAGGTTCCTTTACTGCTTCCTTCCTGAACTGCTGGTCTCGGATTCGTAAACTTCTGTTTCTGATCTGGTTTCTTCTGGAAAGGCGCTTCTTGGCTCTTACCTCCACTGGTACTGTTTCCAAAGGATTTTGATTTCCATTCCTTTACATTGTTGTAAGTTGGTTTCAGGGGCATCCTCTTAGAAACCTCATGCACCTGTACAGGTTTATGGCCTACCTCGTTCTCCTTATTTCGGTACAGGTACCAGTTTGCAGAGTCCAGCTTCCTTCCCCAAACTTTTAAAGCTTTTAGGGTTCTAATATTTGTAACCATTAAAGCATTTTTGTAATCCGACCGTAGATTTCGGAACACGATATCAAACTTCCGTTCTTCCGAAGCTGGCACTGACATGTATCCGAAAATCTCCTTCATCGCATTGTAGTAGTCCGTGAACTTCTCCGATCTCCTTTGCCTTCTCTGAGCAGCCTGCTGCTCGTAATGGAAGTCTAGATCCGGTGACTGGTACTCCAGCTTCAGCTCGGTGACTAACTCCCTCCAATTCTTGAAATCATCATTCCTTTTTCCTTCCATGTACCACGTTCGTACACCCCCTGCAAACAAATGAATTGCCTCGTTGAACAACGCCTTCCTGCTCATATTTTCTGCTTCGGCCATAAACTCAACCTCAGCGATAAACTTGTTCAGCAGTTTTCCGTCATCTTTCCCATCATATCTTAGCTTCCATTCTGAAACTGAACGTGGTCTTCGCACCGCACCTCTTCTCCTGTTATGCCTAGCTTCACCTGAACTGTAACTGGTACTCTCCTCGCTATAGCTTCCCAAACTCTCGGTAACATCATCACTAGATTCATCGGTACTCTCCGCTTTCCGTTGCTTTATTTTCTTCATTGCTGCTTTTTTGTCTTCTTCTAGTTTCTTTCCTTGCTTTTGTGCCTTCCCTTTTACTACTTTTTCTGTATTTTCTTTCTGTTTCGGTTGTCTAACATCCTTTTCTGTTTCTTTTTCCTTTGCTCTTTCTACTTTTTCTTTCCCGCGACCGGCGATCGATTCCGTTCTTCCACTCAAACTCAGTGTACTTAATTTCTGTTCCAGATATTTGTCCACTCGACCTATAACCATTTTCATCATCCTATCTGCTTTCTTTGTCTTACTCTTCTTTATCTTTGACGCTTTCTTCGGAGTACTGGTTTTCCGTTTTCTCTTTTCTTTTTCTCTCTCTTCAATCCCTTCTTCTGACGAAATCGACTCCAACTCATCCTCATCTGTTTCCTCCTGACCCTGAACACTCAACCTACTCAACTCATTCTGTAAATTTTCCTGCATTTCTAACACTGCATCTGGGTCAGTCGAAAGAAACGAGAAATAGTTGTTAAGCAACTGAACTGTTACATTTTCCACGCCTTGGGTGTTATATTTCATCCCTTCTTTCAATCTTGTTAACCTGAAAAGTAAATGCACTAGTCGTGTCTTCAATGGAGGCAAATCTGCCTTCTTAACCCTTCTATTCTCTAACTCCTCACGGATCATGGCTATCTTCTCATCCAGTAGATGAAATTCAGCCTCTTGCTGTTCGTCAGGCAAAGCAAATGTATCAAAATTGTTCTCTTCTCTTTGTAGCTTCATCAATCTACGTAGTTAGCGCCTCTTAGTGTCCCTAGAATCACCACTTGAAAACTTTCCATGCCGAATTACCAGTTCATGCTCAATTTCATCATCCAACAAGTGCGCGACGTTCATCGACTGATAAACCATAAGAAATTCCGGAATCATTTTTATTTTTTTTTAATTCACGTAACTAGTTCAAAATTTAATCATAAACTAATCTTAGGCAAAAATTCAAATAAAAAGTAGCACAATATATACAAAATAAAAAAAAATCAATTCACTAAGC